TAGAATCTACTGATCGACATCTTTATACTATAAAAGGTGCGATCTTCAATGTCCATTTTTGGTAAATTCCCTGACTGAAATAAGGCATTTGAGTGGTATTTGAAATCTGCTAAAAGTGGTAATTCTTAAGGACAATGTAATCTTGGAAATTGCTACGAAAATGGTATAGGCACTACTAAAGATGAAAATAGGCATTTGAGTGGTACTTGAAATCTGCTAAAAATGGTAATCCTCAAAGTCAAAATAATCTTGGATTCTGTTATGAAAATGGCATAGGCACTGCTAAAGATGAAAATAAAACACTTGCATGGTATTTAAAATCTGCTGAAAACGGCAATCCTAATGCGCCAATTTTCCTTGGACTGTGCTATCACTATGGTATACTTAGCTAAATTTTGAAATTTTAAAATTGGCAATAATTAGCCAAATATAAGCAATAAAAAGCACATTATTGGACTTAATTAGTCATTTTAATTATTTATTACAAGATTATTTCATTATCAGCACTTTTAAATACCTAATAAATTAATTAAATAATAGTGCTTTTATTATTACTAAAATACCGATAATATTAGCATTTTATTAGCATAATAATTGACAAATATATTTATAAAGTTAAATTATAGTAATCAAAGGCTAATAAAGTACATATATTTGCAAATGTTTGCATTTAATAGTACATTATCAGTACTGTTAAATTGCTTATTTTTAGCAAATTCAATTTTGACAGATTTTTGTAAAGTAGGTACTACCAAAATGAAAAGAAGGTTCTTGAATTGTATTTGAAATTAGCTGAAGGTGGTAATTCCGTTGCGCATATAACCTTGGTCGTCTCTACATAGAGTGTATAAACACAAATAAAAATGAAAAGGAGGCATTTAAATGGTATTTAAAATCTGCTATAGCCGGTAATTCTGCTGCGCAGTATGGGCTTGGATTATGTTATCGAAATGGTATTGGAACGTCACCTGATCAAAAAAAAGCTATCGAATGGTTGCAAAATGCAAGGATTAACAATTACCAAAAGATTATTGATTATGAAAGTCACGATGATTTTGCAAAAGAATAATAATTACTTAGAAATAACGTATCGTGGATTTCATATAATGAATTAAAATATACACAAAAGATTGGAAAAGGTGGGTTTGCAACAGTGTATTCTGGTACATGGACGCATTTAACCACAGATTATAATATTTTAATGGAAATTGTTTCGCTTAAACTATTTCATGGATCAAACAATAGCTATAAGGAACTTTTAAAAGAGGTAAATATTTGATAATTAATGCTTATTAAATTTAATTGAACCTTTTTATTAACAATTAATTTAATTTGCAAGTTAAATACTTATTCTAATATCGGATCTGAAAACCCTACATTTCTACAATGTTACGGAATGTCAAAGGATGAGCATACTGGTGGATATATTTTAGTTATGCAATATGCAAAGTTGGGATCTTTACGTAAAAATTTTAACGCAATTTTAAAAATGGAATGGAATGAAAAATTGGAATTATTATCTTACATTGCATTTGATCTTCAATTAATTCATTCTCATGATATAATTCATTGCGATTTACATAGTGATAATATATTTCAAGATAGTTTACATAGTGCTTATATTGGTGATTTAGGATTTGCAAAATCCATTAATAAAACATTAAACTCAGAATCAGGAGGAATTTATGGAGCTTTACCATACATAGCACCCGAAGTCTTACGCAAAAATTCATTCACAAAAGCAGGAATGATTATGTGGGAAATTTATTCTGGAAAGGCTGTATTTTCTGATTATTATAACAAAGAAAATTTAAGCTTAGCTATAGATATTTGTAAAGAAGTAAGACCTGAAATTCTTAAGGGTACACCAATATGTTATGCAAATATGTTAAAGAGGTGTTGGCACCAAGGTCCAAAAAAGCTCCCGTCGGCCTTAGAAGTTTATGAAACTGTTACGAGCTGGAAAAATGATCCTATCATTTTATCCGAGTTTTTAAATTCAGAAAATGATTCTGCAATAGAAGATGATGCATCTACCATTAATGTTGATAGCGATTTGATTCATTTTAGTAGAGTTATTGATTATACTATTTAATCATTATGTATTTTGAGTCTTAAATTTAAGTTATTATTTATTCTCAAAAGAACTAAGAACATTAAATAACATTATGTGACCAATTAATTCAATAGATCTGAGGCAAAATTCTAGTTAGTTGGAGACGCAGAACTTCTTTTTCATTTAGTGTTAATCCGGTTGACTAAAACTAAAATCTGTATTTCGCTCAATGAACTTTCAACATTTCTTAATTATCGTAATTATTAAAGAAACTTAAATTTTATCATTAGTATTAATGAATAACAAATTTTATTTATATACAAGTTTGTAATTTTTCAATTATATTGAGATTTAAAAAGTTATAAATTTATATATTCCTATTTATCATTATTAAATAATTTCAAAAGATTCATACAATATGATATCTTCAAAATTAGTAAATTATAAATTTAAAGGTGATAACATTTTTCTGGTATAAATATATACTATTTTTTTTTTTTTTTAATATTAATGGTGAGGCCATGTTTCTATCTTTATTGAATATTTAATTGAGATTTTATATAAAGTACAATTCTGCTTTTAAAATATTATAGAAAGAATGAAGCTCAGACTAATTTATTTGTAACCTAAACTAACTAAAATGGCCAAGTTTTATCTAGATTTGAGTGTTAGTAATTATGTATAGGGAATTAGTTTGATATTTAATTTATTGAATATACTAAGAGTTTATTTTTGAACTAATAGAATTGAGTAGGGGAAAATGTAATAAAAGTGAGACAGCATTTGAAGGTATATTATATTTAAAAGTTTGAGCTATAGATCTTAAGATACAATATAGAATATAGATTTTGTAATAAATTTGTTGATTAAGATGAAGTAAAAACTTGTTAACAAGTATTGTAGCTACTTTTTTGGATGACAGATTTGCAATAATATCAATAAGTTCATTTGGTATTAGACCTGTTAGAGTTGAAAAGATTGAAGGTAAATCTGGTATGCTGTGAATAATCATACTACTCAACAGCTTAATTTGGTTATATAAATTGGTTATAGTATTTGAAGTAGTATTGAGTGTTTTAGTATTTAAAGTATATTATAATGAAATATCTATAAGGCTGTATAGCAATTGATTAGATGAACAGATTGTTCAATAGAGATAAGAACTAATTTAATAATATTGGTTACAGGTAGGTGAGTATAAGTAATATTGTTTGTGTAAAATGCATGGAGTAAAAAGATCATCTAGTAGAATTTTGATTCTAAAAAATTTAAGAGTAGAGGACTGAAAGCTGTATAAGAAGTTTGAGATTTTTTGATTATTGTTAATATATAGCCAGGTAGCTTGCTAATTAACTTGGTTAAAGATTTTGTGCCATTTTGAAAGTGGTTTTGTGTAATCCATAATGCATAAATATGTGCATGAAATATTATATAGATACTGTGGCAGATAGGTAATTTTAAGAAGAAGTTTTTGAAATTTAAAGTTTGTAAATATTGTAAGGCATAAAGGTAAGATATAACAGATTGTAATGACTGCATGTGAGTTGGTCTGCAAGGTTATTGTACTGATTGTCCTGATGAGCAGTAACTTTGTAAAAAATAATATGAATGTTGTATAATTTGACAAAGTTAATAAGTATATTCCATAATGAAAAATATGGTATGTGTATATAAAGTAGAATATGAGTTGAGTTTGAAAAACTATAATATTTAGAGATTAAAGCCTATGAATTAGTATATATGTATATAGTACAATTTCTAGAAGCAGAAATAAGGGCTATTAAGATAGCAGTAAGCTTAGCTTTAAATGAGCAAGGCCAGTATCTTATTTGGGCTTAGAAGGTATGTAATATATTGTTATTTAAAATTTGGGTCCATTTGATGCCTATAGAGCATTGTGAGATACCCAGATTGATGACAGAGCCATTTGTATAAAAATGAAGTTCTGATAGTTGTGCATTGTAGTTGGTGATTTGTTGAAGGTTGTCTGTTAAAGTACTGGGTTCAAATATTATTGGAATTAAGTAGATTGTAATGTTGATATTAGGGGGGTTAGGAATTTGAATAGGATGTCAAATTGCAATGGAGTACATAAGATTAAGGTGGTTGGCATTGAAGTTAAGAGTTTTGTTATATGTATTGACTCGACCAAAAAATCTAGAAGAAAGGTTGATAGGAATATTAATTGTGTATTTGTTGGCAATTATGTAAGAATTAAGAGAGCAATCTAGACATATTTGTGATTAAATAGATGAAAGTAGATATTAATGAGTAAATTGTTGTTCAATATGATATTGCCAATAAGTAATAAGAATAGTTTTTGAAGAAGAAGGCTGTTTTCTGGCTTTATCAGTAATGATTTAATCATTAAATACTGTAATAAGCTATGATTTTTTCCTTAGAGAAAAATGTCCAGTTGAATAATTATAGTAGTTTGTATTAGGTAAGTGTAAATATTAGTAAAGAGTGTAATTGTATGAATAACTTGTAGTTTGGTTTTCTAGATAATTAAACCAAAGCAGTTGTTTGCCTTTAGGAATTTTGTTTATATATGTAGATATATGTTTCCAGTCTAAAAGATATAAGTTGTCAAATGTAGTTAGTTAGTTGATCTAAGTAAAAGATACAATAGTATCTAAGTTGTTTTTTGAAGATTGAGTATTTTGGATATGATAAAAGTAATGATTTAAGTAGAATAGATTCTTCTTGAACAGTATATGAAATATTATATAATGGATTAGATGAAAATGTAATACCAAGATGGTTAAAGAGTTAGATAATTTTAAAATTAATAGTATGTTTGTTAGGCCCATC